ATTTAAATATACCAGATTACTCGAGACCATGTTTAAGGGAGGGCACACAAAAGCAGTCGTTAGCATTTTCCCGGTGCACAAGGGCAGGTGCTAGAATGGTGGTCTAGCACAAGTGGTGCTAGAATGACCCTTGGTGTGAGACTGAAGTTGTGAAATTACCTTAAGTCAAACCTGAAGCGATTTCCTATGTATTAAACATTTTTGAAGTTTACACTGTCACTTGTATGTGCTTGGCTGGGTTAAGCTTTGTTGTGATTGTGACAAATAAACTTGTTTGACCTTTGTCGTACTGTCCCATTGGTTTAGTTGTAATAAATGTCCATTTTTACACCGTTGCTTTGTGCTTTTATGTAATTAGTTCTGATTTTCTGCAGAGGGGGGGGAAAAAAAAAGCTACTCATTGCTAGTTTAAAAAAGGGGGAATTTTATTACAGTGCTTAATTTGCTCTTGAGCACTTTATTAAAAAATGTGTGAGAATACTGTGTCCAAGATTAGTTATTTACATCCATTTAAATTCTACAGAAAGCAATAAATTAGCGAGTTCTTTGGAAGGCTTATCACATTAAACATGGAATTTATTAGAAAGGATGGTAAAATGATGCGGTTGCCCCATTTCATTTGAAATTAAACCATATACTGATTGAGAGAGGGTTCTAGATGATAATGATACAGTCTCGCTAGTCAGCTCCTCGAATGGAATTATGAACATGGCTGTGCAGCATTCACAGTCTTACAATCCTCATTTCAGCCCCAAATTTCTCTTGGCTAATCTGCTTTCCAGCTTTCTATAACTGAACTCCTTGATGTTACCAGCAAAAGCATGGGGAAATCTTAGTACCTTAGGGCATTCCTTCAGTCAAATGTGAAAGTAAAATTTAGTTTCTTGAATTTCCTGTCTTACCAAGAGACAAACGAAAAGAGAAGTGAAAAGCATCTGTTAGAATTTCTAGATTGTTTAGGCTTAGATTGTTTGCTTGAGTGTCTTCAGTGTAATCATGGAATCCTTGTTGAAGATTCCTTTCCTAACTGTCTGCTGTTCTCTTTGAGTCAACACCGTAATGATGGTCATGCTGTGGCTGCCTTTGTCAATTAATGCGTTCATGGGCTGTGCCTGTACAGCTTCCCTTCCAATCAGTCTCATGGTTTTCTGAACTGTAGTTTGTCAGTTACCTTTTATTTATTTCTTTACGTGTCAGTGACAGATGCTGCACTCAGCTGATGCATCAGAGCTGAATAAAAGGATGGATGGAATAATAGGGAGTTATTTTAATTACAGCAAGCTTACAGTGAAAGCAGAATCAGTGACACTCTTTGTAAGTGTAATTTGTTTTCGTATATCATTTAATTTTTTTTGACTAGCATAGACTTCCACATTTTGCAAAAGGTGCTGATTCAGGGCAGGAAGTAAGAGCATCTCTGAGCAGGCTCTTGCATTTCTTCTGAAAGCCATTATTTGTGCATCCCAAGAATGCTGCAACTGGTTCAACTAAATAAATACACTGAATGTGGTAATGCGCAGCTGAATCTGAGAAGGACATCCTGCTGAAGGATGTAATGCTGAAGAAGTTACTTAGAATACATTTCAGACTGTCTGTTTCCATCAGCAAGGGAAAGACCTTCATCTGTGCTTGTTGCCTCTTCATGAAAGTGGATGCCTTGCGTCTAGCATATGAGTGTGGGCAAGTCCTCCTGACACCCGTGTGATAATGGCTACTCAGCTAGCATGGCAACCATGCTGGGAAGGGAAAAGACTTCAAAGCAGTCACCAGCACAAACCTAAAGGCGTGCTGCCTTCCCAGGTGCCTTTGTCTCTCCTGTTGCAGGACACCTGCTGTCTTATTGTCTGGAAACATTTTGGGTAAGCACCTGGAGTTGGACGATTTTTATGAAGTAGCTGGACTTCAACATTCAAGTTCCTGCTCAGATACCTTACTCCTCTCCCCAAGAGAATGGTCAGAGCAGCGCCTGTTACTGATCCTGACCTCCCAGCTGGCTGGACCTGGCAGGAGAGCCCCGCTGCTGCTCTAACCCCCTTCATGCAGCTCTTGTATAAATAATGCTTTCATCATCAATCCAAAGCACTTTAGTGATATTTACAAACTTCATAATAAAGTTTGAAAGCAGCTGCTTTAAGCAGTCATTCAAAAGATAAAAGCACACATAAAGCTGGACCACCATTAATTCACTTTACATAGTCCTTCTATGTGGATTAGACAGAATAGCACAAAGTGAGAACAAGCTATTCCTGGCAAATCTAAATCCATCCTAAGTTGTTCTGGGCTTTTCTCCTTTGGAGAAAGAAGCTTAACGTTTAGGAATTCTAGTTGCCTCGTCTCTTCAGAGTAAATAGCTCACTTAGCTAATAAGGAAAGAAAACCATGCATACGATACTACTTAAGATTATGAAGTAGGGAAACAACACCGAAATATATGAACTTTTACATTTGAAAACTGGTTGAATTCCAGGTTTCATGCTAACAAAAGCAAACAAAATGTCAGATCTACAGCACTTGTTTTGGTGCAATAAGCAGACAGGATGTGAAACTGAATAGTTACAGCTACCAGTCCTACAGCGCACAGGTACAGCCAGGGAGTTTGGATCCAGATCTCACGAAAAGCAGCTGAAGGTTTGGCCATTAGAGTAGCAGAAATAAAGTACATTTAAATTTTACATGCATCTCTGAGCAAGTTTTTATTATTATTATAAGAACTTTTTAAAAAAAATACAGCCGCCCAGCTTCCCAGATCCCATTACAAAAGTGTGGGGAGAAGGAGCTTATTACCTGTGGAATTCTCACGTGGGTCTTAGTTGGCACATGGTTGCTAATCCTATAGAGGTCCGCTTCACTTATTTCACGCGCCTTGTCACAGATTTCACAAAACAGCATCCCACAACACCTGCTTCTGGTTGAGCTTGGTAATTTATTTCCCTCACACAACCCTCAGCAACAGCCTGCCGCACGGCACAGGCTATACAACACACTACAGATAGAGTAAATCTTTCCTATTCAAGAGCCTCAACCAGCAGGCTGGTTCAGCAGAATTCCAGTTGCAGGAAGCAAGGCAGCACCAGTGATGTGAGGATCTTACTGGCCTGTTAGCAATGCATCTCAGCAAGCACGGAATGCCAGCTCAGCTGCGTGAATTTGCCACATTTTGCATAAGTACTCCAACTAGACAAGTGAGCATCCATGAAAAAATAGAAACCCTGGGGAAAATCTGTACAGTGTAGTCAGAAAAGATACGTTATGAGAAACCAGTCGTCTCAAATTTCTCCAATATAATTTAAAACTTAGTGTTGTCCATAGAAATATGCCTTTCAGGTGAAGTTACTGTTACTTCAAAAGTTATGCCATTAAATCACAATTCCTATATCTGTTAATAATTAAAACACCTAATCAAATTAACTAAGCTACCGTTCTGTCTACAGTTATGACAACATATAATGAAAGTTGGGTTTGAACTGAACAACAATATATAGCACTTTTGTTGAATTACTCCATAGTGGACAACAGTTATACATGAAAAAAGAAAAAAAGTATCATCAGCATGCTAGGTGCAATATGCCTTTAGAAAAGAAAAAAAAAAAAAAATAACAC